CAGCAGCAACAGCAGCAGCAGCAGCAGCAGCAGCAGCAGCACACACACACAACAGGAAAAGCAAATGAGGGAACGCGATGGTGCAGCAGTTGCTGCTGCTGCTGCTGCAGCAGCAAACATATACTCGCCATATACACAAACAGCCCTGTACACCCCAACACACTGATACCCGTGCTAGCTGCTGCTGCGTCTGCTGCTGCTGCTGCTGCTGCTGCTGCTGTTCTAGCTGCTGCTGTTGCTGCTGCTGATGAGCAGGCTGCCCCTTCTCTTCCGCCGATACAGCTGAAAGAGATGAGGCTTCAACCCCTAAACCCTAAACCCTAAACCCTAGGCCAAGACCGCACGCGGGGCCCCACAGCAGCAGCAGCAGCAGCAGCAGCAGCAGCACGGCAAGCAGCAGCAGCAGAGGAAAAGCAGCCGCAGCCAGGTAGAAAGAAGCAGCTAAATAAACGAGAGAAGAGGGAAGGATGCGACATTAGAGAGGCAGCAACGAGCAGCAGCAGCAGCAGCAACAGCAGCAGCAGCAGCAGCAGCAGCAGCAGGAGGCCCACACACAGAGCTGCAGCAGCAACCCAGCAGCAAACGCTCACTCGCTGTATTTTGTCTGCTGATTATATTCAGGTGTACAGACAGCTGAAAAGGCAACAACCCTCCAGGGAATCCGCGTGGGGTAGACGGCTGCGGGGAGCTTGCTGCTGTTGCTGCTGCTGCTGCTGCTGTTGCTGCTGCTGCTGCTGCTGAAAAGCCTTTGCTTACGGGCGTACGTACACTCCAACTCCGCCCAATTTATTCACCCCAATAAATCACAAAACCCAAACTCTCTAGCAGCCAGCAGCAGCAGCAGCAGCAGCAGCAGCAGCCCTCCTGCTGCTGCTGCTGCTAGTAGCAGCAGCAGCAGCAGCAGCAGCAGCAGCCCCGCTGGAGCAGACGCGGGCCCTCAGGATGCATGCTGCGAGGGTTTAAGGGCCTTGCGCCGACAGTATACAAATTTTGCTGCAACTAAACACTAAATTAGGGTTTAGGGTTTAGGGTTTAGGGTTTAGGGTTTAGGCCTGGCGCGTGCTGCTGCTTGTTCGCGTACACACAGCAGCAGAGCTGCAGCAGCACGCAGGCAGCAGCAGACCCTCTCACCTCCTTCCTACTGCATCAGTGCAGCAGCAGCAGCAGCAGCAGCAGCAGCAGGAACAGCAGCAGCACCACCAGTAACTTCAGCGGTAGCAGCGGCTGTTGCAGCAGCAGCACCACCACCCGCAGCAGCAGCAGCAGCAGCAGCAGCAGCAGCAACAACAGCAACAGCAACAGCAGCAGGAGGAGCAGCAATGGTGTCTCCTTTCACCTCCCGCGTGTCTGCGCTGCTGCGCAGCAGAGTTTTCTCTTCTCCCGTGCTGCAGCAGCAGCTGCAGCAGCAGCAGCAGCAGCAGCAGCAGCTGCAGCAGCAGCTGTGTTATCTCAGCCGTCGCTTCGGCGATTTCAGCAGTTTCTGCAGCAGCAGAGCAAGACCCACCCCCACCCCCACCCCCAGCAGCAGCAGCAACAGCAGCAGCAACAGCAGCAGCAGCAGCAGCAGCAGCAGCAGCAGCAGCAGCAGC